AGTGATGTACCATCTACAGCAAGGCGTTATGATACTGCAACATTTCCATATCTTTCCTCAATTAGTGTCATAGTGTTATGCCTTATCTCAAATCTTCTTACAATAATTACACCTAATTATTATTATTCCTTGTTAACTCAGTAAGCCAAATAGTCAAATGTCTAATATGATAAGACTTGCTTGTGTTCTTGTGTTATTTTATCTATTGTAGAGCCAAGTTCACAATAATTATACTGAGCATTTTAGAAAAAAAGTCAAATGTTCTTCACCAATTTATGTTTTTCGATTGTGTGCTCTTATATCTCCATGAGTCCTATCTAGTAGCATTAATTCACAGTTGCATTGTGGTTGCTCAACTAGTAAATATGTAGGCTTTATATACGGCAGTCTGAATAAAAACTGAAGAATATGGGATTTTTTTTTCTTAATTATGCGCCCAAAAATGGAAGAAGCGGCCCTGGCTCATGAGCATGCTAGAAATAGAGACATATGCTCTCAGACAGAACTCCGTGGCCTGGAATCCCCAGCAGTCAAACACACTCACTGCATAGTGCTCCAATCAACTACACTCACGTTCCCTAAGCAGAATGGTTGATTGGAGCACTGTACAGGGGGCATGTCTGACCACTTTTGGACCACATGCTGCCAACACAAGATGGCGTTGTACAGTTTTACACATTAACACATAAGAGTTTTAAAGTAGATCTAAAGCCAAACAGTTTTGTTTTTTTAAAGTAAGGCTTAGTTAGAACCATTTTCAGGTTTTTATTGCTAGAGAAGGTTTTTGGTTCCCTTTTATGATTTTCTGCTTTGGTCAAGTGTATCTTTTGGTTTTTCAGGGTACTTTGCAGGCCACTCTTGGTACACCAGAGCCTCGTGGGGCTCTTAAAACAACAAATTCAGCAATGCAGACGAGAAAATGCTACTCAAAACTGGAAATCCACATATTTCATTAACACTGTAAAGCACTCAACGTGTTCCTGGGTTTCTACAGGCACCCCTTCCTCAGGGTTTGTAAATGTTGGGTTGGGAGAAGATATAGACTTCATAGATCTCTTTGAGAATAGAGAAAACAGTTCATTAGAATGCTTGAAACCTACTCCACTCACTAGTTAACTTTGTATAGTCCCAGAAACAAGCTTGCTACTTTATGGACTCTATTAATAAACTTTGTGTGGACTTTTAATTGAAGTTATTTCATGCATAGTTGAGTTCTTTATTGCATTTGGTGTCCCTCCTGGGGAGAGTCATCCTTTCTATATTTTCCAACGACAATTATTCCTGAGACAGCAAGTGATGGAAAATCAAAAATTATACAACTGTCCTTCAACAGGAATGGAAAGGAAATCTTCCTATGGGTATACCTGTTTCTCCCTCTCACTCCCTGTTCTGTCTCAATGGTGTTAACCTTTCCCTGCTCTATAGAAAACAGAAAAAAGTGTTGACCTTAGCTAAACTTTAGAAGTATGCAGTAAATTGGTCTTTATTTTCTATAAAGAGGCCAGAAATTTTGGATGGTTCAGAAGCTAGGACACCTGTTGCTTCTCTGTACTGTAGACATTATTTCTAGACAAAACTGCATTATCACTTCTAAAATTTTCTATGCTTCTTGGGGGAGGCACACTGGGCTTATCTGACAGTGTGAACAAACAATAGAAAATAACCGGGCTCCAATGGAAAGATACAATCTCAGATAGTCAGGTCTTGTCTTCATTTAACCCTGAAAGCAATTTAGCATTTCTACACAAGTAAAGTAAAACCACACAGCAACTGCCCTGAAATGCATTGTGCAAATAATACAAAAGCATGGCTGGATTTTTCTTTTGTAAGCAGAATACAATCGTAAGGATGTGTTATTTTTGCTAAATTCCTTTTTGTATTTTTTTTATTCTGTAGTCAGCAGTGGGCTGTACTCAGCCACCTCAACAGAGTGTATTCTCTCTGCCACATATTTTTTGAGCTTGCTCCCACACTTTGTGATAGAGGGATATGCAGGGATCCCAACCTGCAAAGTGCAATAGCCAATATGAATCTAGCTATGCACTCCTATGCCTTTTTTTTTTTCTGACTGACGACAGGCAGGAGAAGTGAACAATCTTGGACAACATAGCTGAACTGGAAAGTAAGCTGAATTGGGGAATTTTTCCATTTCAGCTATGTTGTCCTAAATTGTTCACTTCTCCTGCCTTCTCCAAACTCTTCACCCTAGTGAATAACCCTGTAAGTGTTATGGATCTCTGATAGTCTGGCCAATAAGTTGGACTGAGCAAACTGCTGAGGCCTGTTGGGAGAACTATTAAATACTATTCACGCTTTTCCCTGCTGGGCTTCTGCTCTATGAGGATGCCAGCTTTATTAGTCTTTCCTAGACCTCAGGCCTAGGCACATGGAAAGATGTAGGGACCCTGAAGGTGATGGCTGCTAGAGGAAAAGAGCATATGGTCTAGAGCAGTGGTTCTCAAACTGTGTAACCTCAGGACCCACATTTGTCCTTGGTCATTAAGTTGTGACCCAAGTCGCACCACAATGGAACACACAGCATTGCAGTACAGCATGTTCCAGTGCAAGCGATCAAACTGTGGGTGGGGAGATGTGTTTGTTGTGCCATTCAAATGAATGGCAACACACCTCCCACACTAGAACAAACAGTAGGTGCAATTGCATGGTAGTTTGGGATTAAAACACTGACAGACACAACCACAATCTCACAGACAGACAGTCTCACACACACATACACACTCCAAAAAACATTTTAGGTGTTCAGTACGGGCTGCTGTGCAGTGACGGAGTTCCATCCAAACATGCATTGCTTATACAGCTCACTTGCACTCCCTGTAGAGATGCCGGGAGCCAGAATATAACATCATGTGAGGGAGCTGTAAGCAATGCACGCATGGATGGAGCTCCCTCGCGGCCATACCCCCAAGCCCAGCCCACCTTAAGCTGATGCTTGGCGCCAGGCAGTATATTTTGAATGACTGTCGGTACGAGAACTGACAGTGCTGCACTACGGGGGAGGATGAGAAGCCTCTCACCTAATGCAGTAAAAGACATGAGGCGACCCACAGAACATGGAGTTGCAACCCACTTTTGGGTCACGACCCACCAGTTGAGAACCACGGGTCTAGAGGAAGCAGCTTCTGTCCTACCACATATGGAGATGCAGTGAGTGATGGTTGAGAAGTTATACACAAGAACCTTCCTATGCTTGCCTGCTTTGGAATTGAAGATTGAGTCACCCCTAGAATCTCATTTGCAAATGTACCTGAGCTTGATAGTAACCAGCCAGCACAGTCTGTTATTAGAAGGAAGACATCTAGAAGACTTTAATGTAAGATCCAGAAGATATTGAGGCCTAGTTCAAAGAATAAGATCCAGCGTACTGTGGGATATCCTGATCCGCACCTCACCCTCCTTTCTAAATTGGCATGTGCAATAAAACTTTTTTTTTCTTTTTTGAATATACTAAAGTGACTTGTGCCCATCATTCTGACCAACAAGAGAAGATTACCATGCCTGAGGTGAATGTGTGTCTAATATTAGTAAATGGACTTCGAGCATTCATTAATGTAGCTATTAGGTAGCTGAAGAGCCATATCCCTTTAAGTTATGTCTGCATGGTTACCAATAGCTCTACCCAATGCATGAGTGACAAATTGTCAAGTAAATATTTTAATTTGCTTCTTTGAGTCTAGTCATTAAACAGAGTTTATCCATCACACATAGTAAAACTTGTGGCCACTGTATGATGACTAAGGGCCACAGGGGACAAAAATAATCCTATGGTGCATTACAGTTCAACGTGTCCATGTTTTTGGCAACAGGATTATAAATCTGACTGCAGATGTACCATTTGCACAGCACCAGCTCCATGTCTCCAACAGCAGTTATTTATTGTTGTGGTCTGCAATTATGTGCATAGAAGTGGTGAAGGGGAGTTTCGCTACTTTGACCTCTATGTCAGGGCTGCCTTGTTATTAGTTTAGCCATACACCTAACAGGTGGGTTCAATTCAGGTACACACAGTACTGTTCCGAGCTGTTCCATTATTGCAATTAGTTCTCCTGATACACACAGATATTTGTTTGATTGATCAAAAGTGATTGACAAAATTCTGCCACAGCCGATCGTCTTGTCAGTTTTTAAATCAATTGAGGTCTCACAATCATTTGGTTTGCAATTTTCATTCAATGTTATCATTTTAGTCGCATTCAATGATTGATGTATGATCATGTCGAGATGTGCGTGGCACTTTTATCCTTCCTTGTGATTTAAACTAACTCCACCCAATTACACAGCTTTTAGGTATGAGTATTGGGTAGAGTCTGAAAGTCTAATCGTTCAGCAAGTAGTTCACCCATCTAAGAACCCCAATGGCAGTATCTTCAATTCTAGATCTTAGCTCCAACCCCTTCCTTACCTTGGCTGTGAAATTATTTTTTTAATCTTCAATATACTGCTAGTGAATAGTGAACCATGACTATTCAAGCCCTGCAAATTGATGACGGGGGCCAGATTCAAAGGATCACCGGTGGACCATACAATCATCTTTAGTTGTAATAAGAGGAATGTTGCAAGATACAGAGTGACTGACTTATAAGAGCCTGTGTCTGAAAGCCCTGTTCAGTCCGGCATTGGGGGAAAAGAAAAAATAAATTAGTTAATTTGCTCTTTTTTTCTTGCTTTTTAATAGGTTAAAAATAAATAAATAAATAAATGGAAATACAGGTTTATTTACCAAGCCAAAGAGGGCAATGCCATTTAGCAACCAATCAGAATTTACCTTTCAGTATACTGATATCTCGCGGTTTTTGGCTACTACACTTTGATCTTGGCACTGCCCTCTTTATTGAGCTCAACAGCAAGCTCAGTAGGACATCTATTAAGGGAAGACTATAGAAACATTGTGGAAAGATAATAATAGAGCTACTTGAAAGAAATTAATACTTTTTCTGCTAATGTAAAAGATGTCTGCCGTTTATTCACGATGGCCAGTGTGTAAGAGTCCAGTAGAGTAAAGGTTTGTAACTGTACCTGTTCTTCTGTGTCCGGCACTGAGCAGTCTGTGAGAAACAGCAATTATGCCATCTTGCCTGAGGATGGAGCTCGCTGGTCTGTGCTAAAATAAAATATAAATATGTTTTTTAGACACAATGCAATCTAAATAAATATATTTTCCAGTATTCTTTAAGCAAAATCCATCATAGCCACAGCTTACAAAGACAGAACTATATAAAATTGACTTGTTCATCATACATTTTTCAGTCACCGTACATTTTTTCTGTATAAAAAATGTTTTTAAAAAAAAGAGGCTGATATATGTGTCTAGTTCTGATTTATATCCTCTAGGCATTCTACTCTTTCTGTGCATGTGCAGATGCTGCTTACTTGTAGATCTTTAAGCCCAACTGCAGTCAACATAAAAAATTGGGCCAAAAGTTTTTGGGGTGCGGGCTTTGGAGCACTCCAGGTTGCCTAGGGTAGGTGGAACATGGTCCCACCAATTGTTACAATTTATAGGAATATCAGGCGATATGCCATAAACCATAGCACAAAACAAAACAGGCAACTAAGTAAACTCAGGTCACTTCCTGGCTAACAGGGTGTCCGCTAATGGGTTCCCCAACACAAACAGGCAGTAATTGTACCTTTTTTTAGTGTTTTCTCAGCATTCAGCCTTTTCACACAACCGCTCTCACAGCAGAAAGAGCAAGAGAGAGCCCTGAGAATCAGTCAGCTCACAGTTATAAAGGGCTATGGACAAATTAGAGTAATGAGGAAGTCTGGTTCCCAGGTAATATGTGGACCTAGAAATGGAGGCTTTATCCCACTTAATGCCCTACAAAGTCTCTGGGCTTAAGGACCAATGACAAGGATAGAGAAAGTTTATTTTCTCCATGTAACGAGCCCCTTGCTCGCTCGGTTCCACTCTCCCGGCACTCCTTAGATTTCAGACCGCAGCGTCTGATATTTCGGACATCCGATAATTTGGGATTCGAACTTCAGCTATGTGCTGTTCGTATCCAGTGGTAATAGCTCAGAACAAACACCAGGCAGGCTGTAGGTAAGTTCAAACAGGAATCACGTTTATTGGATGCACACACACACACACACACACACTTATATAAAACAACGAAGGTGGCCCAACCGACCACCTTCCTATTGGTCAACTGCAAACTATCTTCCAGTCCTCACCTAGGTCCTCTCGGCCATGCAAATGAGGACTCGAAACAGGGCAAATAGGGATTGGTCCATAGTCTTTAGGAAGGGGGCTAGCCCTCAGGCTCCTCCAGCAGCCCCAGTGACGGTTCAGTCCGTCACATTTCTCCCCTCCCGACAGTAGACTAACCAGGTACCAGACCCCCAACTGGTCTGGACCTGTGTTAGTCGGACAAGACAAATTTACATGTCTGGCATCTGATTTCCTGAAAACAAACTTCCGCTGGGGGGTGTTGAGGGCCCCTACATCTCCCTGCACCATGGCCTTCCACTGTGGAGTGAGAATTGCTGCCTCCCCTCCCTGGGACAAAGACTGCAACTGGGAACAAGCATCCGCTGCACCTTTTTGCAGATGCTCCACCTGCTGCTGGGGAGAAAGTTTGGCTGCCTCCTCTCCCTGGAACTCCCTCTGCCTCTGGGGAGAGAGGCCGGCTACCTCCTCTCCCTGGAACTCCCGCTGGGGGGTGTTGAGGGCCCCTACATCTCCCTGCACCATGGCCTGCCGCTGGGGAGTGAGAATGGCTACCTCCTCTCCCTGGAACTCCCGCTGGGGGGTTTTGAGGGCCCCTACATCTCCCTGCACCATGGCCTGCCGCTGGGGATTGAGAAGGGCTGCCTCCCTTCCCTGGGACAAAGACTGCAACTGGGAAGAAGCATCCGCTGCACCTTTTTGCAGATGCTCCACCTGCTGCTGGGGAGAAAGTTTGGCTGCCTCCTCTCCCTGGAACGCCCTCTGCCGCTGGGGAGAGAGGCCCTCTGCCTCCTCTCCCTGGAACTCCCTCTGCCGCTGGGGAGAGAGGCCATCTATCCCCTCTCCCTGGAACTCACTCTGCCGCTGGGGAGAGAGGCCGGCTACCTCCTCTCCCTGGGACTCCCTCTGCTGCTGGGGAGAGAGGCCGGCTACCTCCTCTCCCTGGAACTCCCTCTGCCGCTGGGGAGAGAGGCCGGCTACCTCCTCTCCCTGGAACTCCCTCTGCTGCTGGGGAGAGAGGCCCTCTGCCTCCTCTCCCTGGAACTCCCTCTGCTGCTGGGGAGAGAGGCCCTCTGCCTCCTCTCCCTGGAGCTCCCTCTGCCGCTGGGGAGAGAGGCCGTCTGACTCCTCTCCCTGGAACTCCCTCTGCCGCTGGGGAGAGAGGCCGTCTGCCTCCTCTCCCTGGATCTCCATCTTAAATAGTTTGAACGCCCGAAAGGGCAACTTACGGAAAGGCGCTGTATCTCTAGGTGTTGTCGCTGATTGCCGTAGTTGCGCCATTCTCCACTCATGTTGCCGCTCTAGTTCTCTCGCTTGCCGCTCATCCTGCTGCTGGATGTCTCTAATGGCATTCTGTATGGTGGTCTCTGATGGGTTGGCACAATATAATGACAACCGCTGTCGAACCCGTTGCTGAAACAAGTCTCCAACTGACCGGGGTCCAGCATTACCATCCCTCTGATCCATCTGGGCTAGCTCACTGATCAGGGTGGCCTTGTTCTTTGTCCCAGCGGTTCCTCCTCAGCTCTCAAGTAGGTCTTTCAGCGTGTCTCTCCTGCAGGCTGCATAGCTGGTCATTCCCTGTGGTGGTTTGGAGTGTCCCAGTAACTGGAGAGCAGATCCCACTGCTGCCACCAATGTAACGAGCCCCTTGCTCGCTCGGTTCCACTCTCCCGGCACTCCTTAGATTTCAGACCGCAGCGTCTGATATTTCGGACATCTGATAATTTGGGATTCGAACGTCAGCTATGTGCTGTTCGTATCCAGTGGTAATAGCTCAGAACAAACACCAGGCAGGCTGTATGTAAGTTCAAACAGGAATCACGTTTATTGGATGCACACACACACTTATATAAAACAACAGTTTGAAGGTGGCCCAACCGACCACCTTCCTATTGGTCAACTGCAAACTATCCTCCAGTCCTCACCTAGGTCCTCTCGGCAATGCAAATGAGGACTCGAAACAGGGCAAAAAGGGATTGGTCCATAGTCTCTAGGAAGGAGGCTAGCCCTCAGGCTCCTCCAGCAGCCGCAGTGACGGTTCAGTCCGTCACACTCCATATCAGTCATCAACCCTGGAACCCCTTAACATGAGTGACACATACACACCCACACTATCCACAATCCTGCCAGTCAGTGCCTCACATTCACCCACACACATAATAACACACACTATATATACACACTAATTAACTATATAAAGGTCAAAGAGATCAACTAAAAATTCTACCACTTTATGGGAAGGGAGCTTACTTGGTTCAACTACTTAGCTATGGCTCAGTGGTGTTGTTAAAATACAAGGTACCCATTACATGTGCATGAACATGTACCCATTAAAGCAGAACTGTGGTCATAAATCAAAAAATGTTGTGCAGGAACAAATTTTATTACCAAAGACACATACTATGTCTCTACTTTGCATCCCAGCAAAAATACATTGGATCCTCAGTCAGGTTTTTATTGCTTTGTGTGTCCCACTGTCCTGGTGACCCCGATCCTTCCTCGGTGTCACACAGTGAGAGGAAATCTTCGCAAAAATTAAAACCTGATAGAGGTTGTAACCTTTCCCCACTCCTTTTAAAAAACTTAAAGAAATTCTGACTGACAGACAATGTAAATGATATATTTTCACAGGAAGACTCTTTTTTTTCAAGCTGCCACAGTGTTATATTAAGTGGCCATTTTCACAACAAACACAGTTCTTTTTTAAATTTAGAAAAACTAAAATCTCTTTAGAAACAAATGTAATGCATAAAGACATTTGTGTATGAGCAGAGCCGGCGCTACCATACAGGCAACACAAGCGGGCGCTCGAGGGCGCTGGTGGGGAGGGGCGGAAAAACAGCGCCTACCTCCCATACACTGGAGCAGCGACATGGACGGGGCTCTGAGCGTCAGTTTCCTATAGTCAGAGCCCCGCCCCCCAGCTCCCTTTGCTGTCTGCTCTCTACGGATGCTGTTGCTGTTCCTGCACTGTCCCGGCCGTGATATTTACATATGAAGGGGCCATGGTGATTTGCATATCAATGAGCAGCGGCCCATTCATATGTAAATGTAGTGACTCATTCAAATGCAAATCGCCCCCCCTCCCTTGCTAAGGAAGAAAAAGGGGCTTTCCAGCAACTGGAACCATAACAAAGAACAGGGTGCCAGATATGTCAGCTACCTGCTGACAAACTAGATGGAAGAGGAGCATCAATGATGGTGGTCAGAAGGAGTCCTAAGCTGGCTGTCACAAAATGGTTTGACAACAAGCCATGTTAATGGCCTCTACCATACATGGGAAAGAACCTGAAGATGTCTGCACTAGATGGTCCAAGGAAGACAAAGCACACATCCAAGTGATAAGACCTGCAGTTATCAAAGAATATAATATTAAAGGGGAATTATGAGGAGAGTGATTTTCACTCGCCTCATAATCTGAGCCGACCTGTGACAATGAAACTGTCACAAGTCAGCTCAGTAGATCGGGAAGTGAGCGAACACATACCGGCGCTCGCTCACTTCTCGATCTATCCCTGCAGAGAGCCGTGACTGTCACTCAGGGGCGGGAAAATGCACCTTCGCCTTGTAGGCAAAAATCCTTGCACCGGCCCTGTTTATGAGGGAGGTAGACAAACAAACACTCTTGTAATTGGATGCAATAATTAAATTGTTTCTTAATGAAGTCCTACAGAAGTAATGCCAAGAAATCATTTAGACACTCTGAACCAGATGGGCAGGTGAAGAGTGAAGTAAACTTATTGGATTTTATGAGGTCAGTCACTTAGAAGTACGGTGTGTGTTAACAGCACTAAAAAAAAATAAAAAAAATATATAACTATATATATATATATATAAACGTACATACTTTTACTTTTATAAATTAAAACTAATTACCATAATCACCTGGAAGAAATTACACAATAGAAAAACTATTGAAGATACGC